TAAGTTTTTTTTTTAACAGCGCGAAGCCATATTTTCTTTTCCCTCAGTTTGAAGCAATTTCCTTTTTTAGGATTCTTAGATATTTTTTTTCAATCACTTCATTTGATCAGATAAAGTAATATTCTAGAATTTCTTTAGTTTTTTCATCCCTTACTGGAACTTTCATCTCTGTTTTGGGAATATAAACCAATTGTTTGTAAAATATCGATCAAGGGAAATTATCGGATGGTCAAGAATTCACATCGAATTGCCGCTATCAAAAAATATGAGGAAAAGGAAATGCTGATCAAATATTTCTTTATTTGAATGACATTTTAACAGATTGTTCTACAAAATATGAATTAAATGCCACTAAATTGCGAAATACATACTTAATGAACAAACATTTACCAAAATATTAAATAATTGATGTTAGGAATCGGCTAAAATCAAACCTGTTAAAATACAACAAGTACGAATAAATGCAACATTCGTTCGAATTCTTTTTTAAAGGCCAATTTGTTTCATTTTCAAATAATATGAATCATGATCGCTCGCTTAAAAATTGACCAAACGACGATATTGTTGTTTACGAAACAAGCCTTATAAAAGGTTGTCGAGCAAACATTATCATTATTGATATGGTTACATTGTGCAATACGCCCCAAAATCACCAAAAAAGCCGAAAAAAGATACTTAAGATCACACTAGTTGCGGCAAGCCTTGCTAAAAGAAACAGCTTTTAGGACGACATTAATGGGCCATCGCCTGAGTATTTTTAAAAAACAATGGAATCATAAACCAAAGCCTCCGTCTCTTTACACAATATACCTTGTTTGTTACACACTTTATTACATGGAAAGTAATGAAACAGAAGTAAAATAAAATTTTAATTATTATACTATTAATATGCTATGTGCCAAATGTCAATAATTTGTGGTTAAATTTTTCAAAGGATGTACATGTCAATTTTTATTGTAGAAAACATCTCAAACCTTTTACTTTATTAAGTAAGTTTATGTTTTTAAATTACAATTCAAAACATGAAAACCACATTTTGATTATTCTTTTTTAAAAACATCTTTCTTCATTTTTTTCTTTTTTGCACATGCATGAAAGTCATTAACTATTTGCATTTATGGATTAGGCATTAGGTACCATGAATTCACATCCTATATATTGGAACCTCAAGTGTCTCTTTTCTTCAAAGACAATCAATAGCATCCATAAATGTAATGGTATGAACCTAAGAATCTACAATTACTAAATTAAAAAATAAACAATACCGTTAACATATCAAGATGACGAGCTTCAATAAGCCTCAGAAGGTTAAGACTTTTCAATTAAGCACCTCAATACAACATAAAATAGTATGGCAAACCTACATTCATTTTTTATATCTAATCCTTGATCAATTAAACGAATCAAAGTCTTCAAGTTCTGAATGTTAGACAGACAAGACCATCATGTGAAAATCAAGAATTTTCTTAAGATTATACCTTTCTATCTTAATGAAGGGTGTTTTCATTTTTTCCATCAAACTAAATTAGAAATTTCATTCACAAAGAAGCATTTCAAATTTTTCTCCACAGACACCCCATATCTCTAACAAACAAAAGCATGAAAACAACTTAGACCACTGATCAAGAATTAGGCTATACAAGAACTAGAGGTATCAAATTCAACCACCAATTCAAAAACAGGTTAGCAAAGTTGGAATCTATCAAATCCTATCTTACTCAGAATACAACATTTATCTTTGGGGGGCCACTTCAAAACAGATCGATATTTCAATTCCAATAATTACAGTGAAGGATATTAACTCCTATCAGCCATAAATCAACTAAAGAGAAATAATTTGCATTATCATACCAAGTCAAATTGAATTGGGGGCAGTGTCTGCCTTCATTATGTTAACCCGTTACCTAAGCAAAAGAAATGTGATCAATTCGAAAATATGATTACTGTTTTTGCAAATCTGCAAAGCTCCTTTTTTTGTGTAGTTTTTTTTTTTTTTTTATTTGGGGGAGGGGGGGGTAGGGGGGGGTAGGATGATAGGATAATTGGTTTCCCATGCATTCATGAACTCATGATCCATATTTAACGTCATCTGCAATCAACTAGACTTGAATTCATGTGATGCAAACTAGGGATAAATTTCTCGCTACTATAGAACTCAAAACCAAGGAATACATGACTTGAACATGTTGGTAGCAAGTTCGTGTCAACGCCAAGCAGTCATGCATGTATGCATACACTTATGCATATAGCTAACATTGCAGAAGACAATAGTGGGTGACTTTTCACGATGACTTCCAGTCCACAAGGGTTCTAAAGCGGAAAAAAACAAGGGAGAGAATGGCATTTGGAAGGTTATCAAGAGTTTTATTTGATAATATGTATATGGGCTGAAAAGAGAAAAAAAAAAACCTTGTCGATCAATGACAAAAAAGAATGAGTTTGAACCATTATCACCCTCAACTGATATGGTTTTGTTGAATATCTAACACAAAGCTTGGTAGTTAATTTTCAATTCATATTCCTACTTGTATTGCCATTATCAAACCACTGGGGATCAACTCTTGTACGATTACCATTAAGTCTATTCTATAAGGAGGTCACTTGTGTAGTTGAAGGGATGCCACACCACAATTATGTGATATTGTCAAGGTTTTAAATATCGGACATCGGGAAATATTGGATGGCCAAATTCATATCGGATTGTGGGTAGTAGGGAAAAATTGAGGATATGTGGTAGATATCGGTATGTCATAACAAATATTTGCATATATAATATAATGCACTAAAATGTAATCTCAACATAGTTAATGAAAGATAAGCATAAAAATGTAACTAATATATGTTTAAGATCACTAGTCAACCTTATAAAATAAACAAAAGTACAAATCAATGTTGCAACATTTCGTCTGATTTTTTCAGGGTAAAATATCATTTATATAATGGGAAAATCATGATATTTCGCCCAAAAATTAACAAACATGGTATATTATTTTGTGACAAACCATATAAAAGCATATATCGGTCAACATGTCAGCTAATATATCGGCCATATTGGGAATATATCACCCAAAATAGCCAAAAAGTAGTGAAGTGACGGATATTTAGAGACCATATCTGTTGCGACAAGGTTTGTAAAAGGAAACATTTAGCGACATATCGGGCCATGCTGGGGGATATTTAAAACAATGACTATAACCAAGTCTCCATCTCTTACACAATGTACCTTGTATGTAACACACTTTATTACATGAGAAGTAATGAACATGAAGTACAGATAAGATTTTGATTATTATAACTAGCTATAACTATGTGCAATGTCAATAATGTGGTTAATTTTCAAAGAATATACTTGATTCAATTTTTATTTGTGAACATCTCAACCTTTACTTTATTGTATTTTATGTTTCTTACATTACATTCAGACATGAAACAATTGACATCTTACATCTCTTCCATCCTTTTAGGCACATGATGAGAGTCAAATTGTGCATTTGACATAGAATAAGCCATAGTACCATGAATTCACATCCTATATATGGAACCTCAAGTGTCTCTCTTTTCTTCAAGACTTCAATAACACCATAAATGTAATGGTATGACCTAGCAATCTACAAATTACTAAAATAAAAAAATAATACAGTTAAGTTATCAACATAAACAACTCAATAAGCCTAAGAACAATGTCGTCAGGTTAGACTTCAAGATTAAGCCATCAAGACACAAAAAAAGTATCGCAAAACTACATTCATTTTTCAAATCTAATGCCTTGGGATCAAGTAAACGAACCAAAGTTTACTTCTGATGTTAGACAGACAAGACCAACCTGTAGACAATCAGAAGATTTCCTTCAAGAATACATTTTATCTTAATGAAGGGCGTTTTCAACTTTTTCCATCCAACTAATAGAACTTTTCTTCACATAAGAAACATTGAAATTTTCTCCACAGACACCCCCCATATCTCAAACAAACAAAAGAGCATGAAAACAATTAAGACCACTCATCAAGAATTATATGTTTGATTATCTATCTTGAAATTTTATGTGTGCAGTGTGCGCCTCAATTCACTTAAGCATGTGCATTGCGTTGCACCTTTAGCATGTACGCATAAAGGGAATTTACGCCACCGATCGTGCATCATGCATTGATAACACTGTTTAAAAGTGAAACAAATCTATCCAAAAAGAAATTTAATGCAACAAAAGACTGAAGCACTCACCAGCATTACTGGTCTTCGCACACTTCACCTTCATCAGCTGGACCTGTGAGTCAACAAACATCTGAATCCTCTGAAACTCCAACGACTTGGCAAACTCCATCCTTTGCTTCTCGAGCTCCATCATTTGCCGCTGCTTATCAATCTCCACTTTCTCATATATCTCAGTCATACTCATGATCGCCTTCGAAAGCTCCCTCATCCCATCCTCTTCTCCTCTCCTAACCCCTTTCCCAGATCTCTCCTTACGCATCTCCCTCGGTCTCTTCCTGTACAACCCTGAAGACCTTGACAACGACGAGTCCGATTCATCGTCATCCGACGCGCGCTGCCCAGCTGTCAGTGCAGCAGTGGCAGCGCCGTAAAACTCCTCTGCATGATAAGCGATCACCGTCACCTGCGGCACAATAGCAGTCTGCCGCCTTCGCTTTCCATCTCAAAACGGGACGGGACAATGCGAGGCCAGTCCGGCCCAGAGCGGAAACCCTTCCGTGCGAACGGCCAGCAGGGAGCGCCATAAGGCGGCGAGGACGATGGCGGCTGTCGCGCATTTTTGCAGAAACCGAGGTTCGATCAGCGAATCGAGGCGATCATAGAAGCATTCACTGGCCTGGACGAGAGCGCCGTCAGCGATCATTGCGACTTCTCGACCTTGTACTTCTTACTTGAGGGTATCGATCCGCGCTTCTTGCCACTGCACGTCGGTCCTCGGCGCCGGCGAGCGTCGCAGGGGCGGGAGTTGACGTCCACGTCAGCGCACCTCCTTCGCCACTGCTTTTGCGGGAGGCTTGCGCCGGTTGAGCCTCGACGCTAGCCGATCGCCCACGCGTCGGATGAGGACGGAAGCAGGTCTCGCCCTCGCTCCAGCAGTCCTCCGCGCGACGGGGAGCGCCGGGTTCGGCGGCATTTGTCTCAGTCCTCCAGGTAATTCTCGAAACCCCAACCCGTAACTCCTATTTTATGAGGCTGAGAAAATTGCGGAAAAGGCGCCGGACTTAGCGGAGGACGCCGTGCACGTGAGACGGCACATGCAGGCGTTTGCGTCGCCGGGGCGGGGGGTGGTTGTGTTAGCGGTCGTGTTGGGTACCGCCGACGTACGGCGGGTATGATGGCGTCAGCATCGAGGCACACTCGGCCTGGAGAGAGGGCTGAGGGTGATCGTCGTCGAAAATCCGCTGCTGTCGGATTTGGGATCTGAGTTTTGTTTTTAATTTTTTTATTTTTTATTTTTGACGGAGAAACCGGCAAAAGCCGGATGGATGTAATCTCGGTGGCGGATGCAAGTACTTGAAATGACGGATTTACCCTCGGATGATGGGAAGCAAGAGGAGCGAGAGCGTGGTAATTTAGACGTGATTGTATGGGTCCCACAGAACAGTGAGCGGGTGATCTTTTAGGTGTGTGAGGTTGGGTGAGGATGGGTGAGAGGAAGACGGAAGAAAAAGTGAACGGTGGGCGGTGTCAGTGGTCCCCTGTATGTATTACGGTAGCACACCGGTTTTCAGTATCTTTTTTTTTCACCTCTCACGGCCTCTTCGTCCATACCCTCCGAATTCCGGACAAATTTTCAAAACCAACCCTTTTGGTTTTTTATTTGTAAAAAACGACCTATTTCAGTTTTATTTGCAAAAACCGACCTGGTTTCAGCCTCAGCGCTGAAACCAGGTCGGTTTTTAAAAAAAAGTTTTCGAAACTTCACGGGAGTTGAACTCCCGTGAAGTTTAACAGCTTAATTAAAAGCTGCTAAACTTCACGGGAGTTTTCAAAAACCGACCTGGTTTCAGCGCTGAGGCTGAAACCAGGTCGGTTTTTACAAATATTTTAAAAACGGGTCGTTTTTTACAAATAAAAAATCAAAAAGGTTGGTTTTGAAAATTTGTCCTCCGAATTCCATTCTACAAATTAAAATATTCTAATTTAGAGAGTGCAATTTGGAGAGTTGCTTCCATTCATACTCTCTAAATGGTTTTTTTATTTTTTTGACAAAAAACCATATAATTTAATAATGTTGAATATAATTTACATTAATAATTTTATTTTTAATAATTTATGGGGCAAGTTAAATAAATCTCCGTATTTAAAATTTCATGTCTGATACTTATTTATTTAATTTAAAAATAGTACTTTTATAATAATACTAAAATAAATTAATCTTAGTTTCATTTTAAAGATCTCAACGAGACCTTTTCAAATATATAATGATTTTAAATATTAGATTAATAATTTTTTAACTATATTTATTTGAAATTAAATATCTAATTTCAATTACTAAGAATGATGGCAAAGTGATAATTTTTAAGAAATTAAATAGTTAAAAGTGGCAAAGTTGTAATTAACGAAACTTGAATAGTACTTTGGAGAGACTCTCCAAATTTTATCTTCATTCTCCAAATTTTATTTCCACTCTCCAAAATTGGAGAGTGAAGTTTAGAGATCTCCAAATTTGGAGAGTGATTGGAGATGATTCACTCTCCAAATTTGGAGATTTTCCCATTTTGGAGGCCGGTTGGAGATGACCTCACATCAGTTTGTATTCAAAAGAATTGCAATTTCGCAGTCCGCAAAGAAAACAATAAAACCTTTTCATTACAACAGTTTTTGGCCTCTCAAGTTTTCTCACCGCTGATTTAAAGGTAAATCTTATACCTTCTTCTTTTCTCGCCTAAGATTTACTTGCTGTGTAGTCAATATTTTTACATACGTTTGAGCAGAGTTATTAGCTTCATATCAATCTATCAAATAATCTTCCAACACTTCTCTCATAAATAAGATGGAGATTGTGCGTATTTAAAAGAATGCAATTCAGATGATTTTGAGTTTATTATAGGTGGTTGGTGATCTCTTGGTCAACTTTGGCATTTAGGGTACGTATGTTTTCCTTGGCTTGCTCTTTAGCTCAAGAAAATGGACAAGTTCGTGGAGTTCATGCCAAAATGTAAGCAACTTCATTTCTAGAAATTTCTATTTTCACACCAAGGGTTTGTTTGTTGTTGATAAATGACTCCCTCTTATTTCTTAGAACTATTTCATGCTAGAATGGATCATATGGGATCTACTTGATCTTTCTTATGGAATTATTTCTACTCTCACTAACGGTAATGTGCATTCCTATTCTCGCGCATGTTCATGGTCAATCCTTATGGTTATAGTATTAACATTTTTTAATTCAATTTTGGATGATTAAATCAACAAGTTGGTGGTCTGTGTAGAATGTTTGATTATGGCTTTTAAACCCTTCTTTAACACACTGAAACGTTTCTTATAACCAAAACTTGGTGGAATAGGATTTACAGGATGATTTTAAAGAGATTGATTCTAGTATGCAAAATTAGGTTGTGAAAAATTATTTGGTGTGTTGAATGGAGCTATATTTCTTCTAAAAAATATGGGGTTGATGCTGGAGTACAATTTTATTTTTTTAAGATTGGATGCAAAATTAATTCAGATGATTTTTCCAATCCGAATTGTAGATTAGAGAAAATAGATCATTCCTAAGGCACTAAAATGTCGCGTTCACCCTAGTTGATTGTTTCCTAAAAGAGCGCATTCCTCTGAAACATAGGCTGAAGATAGAAAGTTATGATATCATAGGCTAGAAACTTGATTGCTTCGAGTTGAGGGTCGTTCTTTACTTTCTAAAGCTTTTTACCGATGCATGATTATAGTCATTTTTTCTTCAGAGGCTATGTTCAGCTCTAGGAAAAGACCACTACTTTTGGATAGGGGAATTGATGAAACTCTTTCATCATCGTGTTCCCACCGCATTGTTTCTCAGATGAATTTTCTAAAAATTCTCAGGCATCTTCAACGTTTTTCTTCATAAAATCCCCTTGATGCATAGATTCTAAATATGTATTTAAAGAATAATACAATCCTTCATAGATAATTTCACATAATTGCAACTTTTCTAAACCATGGTGAGGATATTAAACAAGAAGATCCTTGAACTTATCAAAATACATTCATAATGGCTCCCCTAGAGTAATCTTGAAATTATAATTGATGTTTCTAAGTTTTATCATTTTATGAATTGAAAAGATTTTTTTAAAGAAAGTAATAACAAATTCATTCCATGTTGATATATAACTTATAGATGAGCTATAGAGTCATTTCAATTGACTAAATCTGAGTTTAATTGCATTCTCAGATAACTCTTTAATCTTAATTATAAGATCAACTTCCTCAAACTCAGATATAAAAATGTATGCATCTTCGGACTCATCCTAAGAACTTCCAAAGCATGTTCATAAAGTAAGGTCTAAGCCCAAAATTAGCTTCATTAACATCAAGAAGTCCGATGCAAGACGAGATTGCATTTTTAGTTGGATAACACATATCTTGAAGAATGGGTGGATTATGATTTGCTATTTTTTTAGTTTTAAAAATTGGTTCAATAAGGATTAAGTGATTGATATTATTCCTAATCCAAACTTGCATACACCAAAATAATTTTTTAGGTTTTTTATTTTATTTATAACTAAAAATAAATTAGGAAGAAGATCTAAGAAAAAAGTTAATTAATTATATATATATTTTTTAAAGAAAAACAAAAGACCTTAAGATTAGTGAGAGAAAAGAAGCAGAATAAAAGTAAAACATAATTAAACAAATCAATAGCAACCACTTGAAATAATGACCCTTAATTCTAGGGTTAAGTCTAAACTCAACTAGACCATCTCCTAACTAAAAACTTATTAAGTAAAAAGATAGAAGTTTACTTGGTTAGTTAGCTAGGTACGGATAGTACTAGAGGGAGGTCACAGACCAATTAAGTACTTCTTTTCCTGTAAAGCGCTTTATGTAACCCCTAAACTTTGCCGTAAACACTAACGGATTCGAGTAAACTTAAACATCTTCACTTAAGGATTTATTATTCCATAATGGACTCGCGTCCTTAGGGACCAATGTCTAATGAGTTTTAAAAACTTGTGTATAGTGAGGAAGTAGTTATTCTCGGGTTAAGAAAAATGGTGATGAAATCTCTCTACTTATCTTGATTAGAATGTTTTTTTTTCCTTAAGAGTATTTTCAAGTGAGTGCTCAAATTAAAATACTCAAATCACTTTGGTGAGTTCCTACTAACTATTGCAATGCAACCCTAAAAATTAAAAATAACTAAAAAATATGCAAAGAAATATTTTTTTAATTAGGGTCAACAATCAAACAAATGTGAGAATGAGAGCTCTTATCTGAATTTATTATATTGTTAATAGTTGTTCGATTGGAGGGTGGATTTTATTAGGATCAACAAGAGGAAATCTTTATTTTATTGAAGTCCTAATGTCTCTAATGTGGAAAGCCTAACTAAAGGGTGAAAATTGAAAATATTAGAAAGAGGACTCATTTTTTCAAGCAAATCTTATTCTTCTGGTTTAGTCCTTCACAATGAAACACATAAATTTAAGAACCAAAATAGAAAAAATTCCTAATTATAAGCACATTCCCAAGCAACGGTGCCAAAAACTTGATGGTGAGATACATAATATAATATTGTAAGTGCATAATTATCAAGTTATAATATAGTATAGATGTCGAACCCACAAGGAAGGTGCTTGTTTGGAAATTCTAAATTTGGCGTTAAGAAGTCTAGAAAAAATGAATGAAAATGAAAGTATAGAGATATAGATAGAGATTTCT